GCCACTCGGCTGGCCCCTGGAACTTATCTCTTGTTTATACCAATTAGCCTATAGTAAAACTGGTTTCATTACATGTCATTTCACTTAAAGATGAAAAACCTATCAACAATGTTAAATGAGGACTTACTGTAATCATGTGTTTTGTATCTGTCACCACCACTACACTATAAGTATCTTAAAGACAGAAACTATTCCTCGTTCATCTCTGTATCTTAAGTATATAGGACAGTCCCTGGCATATAGGAGATTCTAAAAAGTTATTATTTATAAATTGAAAGAATGAATGAATGTAGATAAAGAAAAATGGGAAAGCAAGAAGGAGAGAAAATAGCATGAAGCAAGATAAAACATCCATATTTCATGTTATTCATTTCTCTATATAAGCATGTTTCTATACCTTTCTGATTCAGCCGTCTTGATTCCTTTAGTGTCCATCCAACTGGTAATAGTCTTTTGTTTGAAAACTGTAAAAAAAAAGAAAAAGAAAATACCCCAAACATTAATATATATGCATACATGCCTTCAAAGAGAAAATACCTATAGCAGCATATATACATGTAAGGCATCATGCTAAATTCTGTGAGTTAAAGATTAAGCACTCCTTCCACACTCAAGCAATGGGAGATAATACAGGAACATAAATATAAATACATTTGCAATAGAGAGTAACCGGCTTCTAAAAGAGTTAGTATGGCCAATGGATGAGAGTATAGGCTCTGGAATGAGACCACCTGGATTCAAATCCTGGCTCTCCCACTGGATTCCTATGTGACTTTGTGAGGGGTCATTTCTGTGTGTCTCAGATTCCTTATCTATAAACATGTAAATGAATAGTATCTCTCCTGGCATTACAAGTGTCAAGTCACACTCAGAGCTGTAATTACAGAATTCAAATCTAGGAAGCTCCCAATCAGGCATGATACAAGCAGCCTGGAGGGCAAATCTGAAGGGGCAAAAGAAAGAGCCCATTGGTAGAAACCAGCAAGGACACTATTGGACTGGGTCAGTGGTTCCCAAACCACCTGAATCATCAGGAAGCTGGTAATAAATGGATCCCAGGGCCACACTCAGACCTACTGAACCAGAATCTATATATGTGATGATGGAGGTGTGAGGGAAGCTAGAATTTGCATTTTTTCAGAAAGTGATTTTGATGATCAACTAGGTTGGAGAACTATTGACCAAGGACTAAAACTAATCCTTGTGAGAACAGAGAGTAAAAGTTGAGAAATAAGCGTCATCACAATGACTTCACTATCACAGGAAAAGTTAAAGGTGACACTAAGTTTTAGCTTGAGACTTCAAAGGTGGTGACAGAATTAAATAAAAAGGTGGAAGGTAGGAGAACTGGATTTAGGGGGGGTAATATGATTAGGTCAATTCTGAACATACTAAATTTCAGATGCCAAAGAGATAACTAGATAGAAATGACCAGCAGCCAGTAGCAAAAGTAGAATTTATGGTTCAGTAGAGGGAAATGCGACATAACTAAATGCAAGCCACAATTTACATGAGCATTAGAAATAAGCATCCTTTCAAAATCAATGCACTGCATGTGTATTAAACGTATGTATTTTAGTATAAGAAAACACAAAATCTTGATCATTCTCAACTACCGTCTAAATTGCAATGTAAGAATCGAGGCACCTTAAGTCATAGACTAATTCTGATCTACCTATGTCCCCTCATATATAGTAACGTGAGCAAAACAGATTCTGTCCCAAATATATGGAAATCAACAGTTTATTTATCACTGTAATTGAGCACCACATTATTTGTACCTTCCATAAAATACTAACATTCCAACTAGGAAAAATCCTTGTTTAGCATTTTTTAAATAGTTTCTCTCAAAAAAGTAATTATATATATATACACAATATACACACACACACACACACACACACACACATTTCAAATCCTGGAGAGTCAGGATATATATATATGTATATATGGCTGATATTACTTGTTAAACACCATTACTCTAGTGATTTTAAGTTAGTACTTCTACAGCAAATCAGGCTTCAGAGAAAAAATTAGTTTCAGTCAGAAGGGAGTAGAGGATGAATCCTCAACTCTTGAGATTTTTTTCTATAGTTTCTTCTTCTCTACTTAATTTCATTATATCAAATACAGCAAATATAGAATATCCTCTAATTTACAAATCAGCAATGAGCCAAAAAATTCATTTTTTGAGTCTGTAGAATTTAAAACACCTTTCTCCACAATTGTAAAGATTAAATGGTATGCAATGGCTAGGTTCCCTGTAATACACATGAAACATAATACTATGGTGACAAGTCTACAGAACCTAAAGACTACAAACAACATCATTTCATAAAAAACTATGAAGTGTTCCACTGCAGTTGAAGAAGGGTTCTTTCCTGCAGCTCTGACACTGAGCCTATGTTCCCTCTCTAGCTTCACGCTTCCTATCATTCCTGAAGCCTGAGAACAGGATGAAGAAGCAGCAACAGGTGAGAAACCAATATTTCCTACTAACAGAATATTCCTAGTCCTTCTGAGGGCCCCATAGAAAGGTCTGCCTACTACTTCTCTTCCCAATACCACTACTTCCGGCTTCCAAAGTTTCACAACACATCCCAGGACTGTTTCAGTTTTACCCCTCTTATTACTGAAGTAAGCATAAAACAATGCTTCCCAGGTTTCCTGGGAATTTCTTTCTTTAACTAGAAATAATCACAGCAAGCAAAAAGGGAGACAATAGGAGGTAATGAAAAAGATACAAGACTTGGAATCAAACAAGAACTTATATTGAGATCTTTGCTCAGTCATCTATAAAATGGGGTTAAGCCTCCGTTGGGGGCAACTGATCTCACAGGTTCATTGCACACAAAGATGCCGCTATGAAAAAAGTCTTTACTGTACTAAGTCACAAACATGACTGGCGATAGGTTATGGTAGGGGGGGAAGATACGGAAGCGATGAGTCATGATACTTAACTGTCAGACATTTGAAAAGTTGTGCACAATGAATCTGTGAGATCAGTTGCGCTCGACTTTAACAATCCATACTCTGGGCCGGCGGAGGGGCGCAATAGTTGAGAGCTGACTTGGGATGCCAGAGGGAACGGGTTCAGATCCCACATGTGAGGGCCAGTGACACTGCCCTCCACAGCTAAGATGCTGAACAACAGCTAAACCTGGAGCTGGGCTGCCGTGAGTCGCCGGCGACGGGGTAGGCTGCAGCCCCTATGGCAGTGGGTTGCCATGGGCTACCGTGTGTAACCANAAGGGGAACAGACAAGTTGCTGTCGTTTTGTTCTGCATCTTAGCTGTAGAGGGCAGTGTCACTGGCCCTCATATGTGGGATCCAAACCTGGGCCCTCTGGCGTCCCAAGCCAGCTCTTAGCCAATGAGCCACTCGGCCGGCCCCAGTTCTAATGGGGGTTTTTTTGTACAGGATTTTCAACATATAAGATCACCTGTGAAGAAAGAAAATTTACTTTTTCCTTTCTGATTTGGATGCCTTTTATTTCTTCTTGCCTGGTTGTTCTAACTAGAACATCTAGCACTATGTTTGTTGACTGGAAGTAGCAAAAACAGGCATCCTTGCCTTGTTTCCAGTTTAGAGGTAAAGCTTTCAGTCTTTAACGTTTGAGTATAATATTCACTGTGGGTTTTCCATATATGGCTTTTATTACGTTGAGGTAGTTCTCCTCTGTTCCTAATTTGTTGAATGCCTTTATGATGAAAGTGTGTTGGATTTTGTCAAGTGCTTTTTCTGCATCAATTGAGGTGATCATATGGGGTTTTTTTCCCTTCATCCTGTTAATATGGTATATTACATTGATCAATTTTCATACATTGGACCATCTACATTGCAGGAATAAATCCCACTTGGTAATGGTGTATAAAATCTTTTTAATATGCTGCTGAATTTGGTTTCCTAGTATTTTGTTGAGGATTTTGCATCAATGTTCATAAAAGGGATATTGGTCTGTAGTTTTCTCATAGTGTCTTTCTCTGGCTTTGGTATCAGGGTAGGGTGAAACTGGCCTCATACAAAGAGTTATGGAAGCGTCCCAGGTATTTCCTGGACTTCAATTTTTGGAAAAGTTTGAGAAGAATTAGTTCTTTAAATGTTTGGTAGAATTCACCAGTGAAGCCATCAGGTTCAGGGCTTTGCCAGATTTTGTTGTGAGGGTTTTTTTTTTTTGTTACTGACTCAATCACCTTTCAAGTCTATTCAGATTTTCTGTTTCTAGGTGGGTTTTGTGTACCTAGGAATTTGTACGTTTCAAGGTTCCTCCCATTTCTTGGCATACTTTCTTATAATCTTTGTAATTCTGTAGACTCAAAATGATGACCTCACCTTCATTTCTGATTTTAGTAATTTGAGTCTTCTATCGCTCTCTATTTATTTATTTATTTATTTATTTATTCATTTAGTCCTTCTACCTAAAGGTTTTTCAATTTTATTGCTCTTTTTAAAGAACCAGTTTTGGGATTCATTGATTTTTCTCTGCCTTTTTTTTAAATTCTCTATTTCATTTGTCTATGCTCTAATCTTTATTATATCCTTCATTCTGCTAGATTGGGTTTAGTTCCTTCTTTTTCTAGTTCTTTAAGTTGTAAAGTTAGGTTGTTGATTTGAGGGTTTTTTTGTTCTTTAAGCATTTATAGCTATAAATTTCCCCTTAGCACTACTTTCACTGAGTCTCATAGGTTTGGGTATGTTATGTTTTCTTTTTTTACTCATCTCTAAAGTATTTTCTAATTTCCCTTTTGATTTCTTCTTTTATCCATTGATTTTTTTTTTNAAAAAAAAAAATCTTAAAAAAAAGAATGCATCACACATAGTAAGGGTATTATTTCATGAAAATATGTTATAAATATGGGATATTTACCAGGTTACATATATTTCTTACTCTGTGTACCAAGTGAAATATAAACTACGGGTTGCAGTCAGAAAAGTTCAAAGGCCACTGCCTAAGCCATCTTTTCTAAAATATTGACCAAACGATATCTCCCTTCTTAAAAGCTTTTTAGTGGCTCCCCATTAACCACAGCATAAAGTCCAAACACCTTGAAATGGTACTCCAGTTTGTCCTGCCCGCCTTCCCTGCCTCATCTAATGTCATTCTGTGCTCCAGTCCTACCACCTTTTGCACATGCTGTTCCCTCTGTCTATATAATTTGTTCTCTTTGATTTATACAGCAAATCCTGCTCATCCTTCAATACTTGGTTTCGATCTGCTCCCCACTACCTCTAAATCCTGAGAGAATTAAGTGTACATCATTCACCAGAGGACTGCCTGATCTCTCCCAGCCTTATACTGCTGACCAATGCATCCTTTTTGAAATAGTCTCTTCCCTGCATGGCACAACAAAAGCCAGGCTTTCCTCCTACTTTTCTGGCTCCTTCTCTTCAGTCTATTTTTCAATGGTAGTGCTCCTGAAGTTTCTATCCTAGGTCGCCTTTATTTTCTTTACATGCTTTTATATGACCTAATCTACTTCTGTAAAATCAATTATGGTTATGCCAAGAACTCCCAAATCTATATTTACACCACAGATATATTTATGATGCACAAACTCACATACCCCATTCTCTCCTGAACCCAACCATATCTCCCCTTCCCTACTGCCTACAGCCAAGTATAACCCATCTTTATCTCGCACCTCAAATAACACTTTAACGAGTCTTGGGCCTGCACTTCTGCTCCCTTTCAATCCATTCTTCACTTTTCACACATCAGCCATAGGGACCTTGGCCCCTACTCCTTTTATCCCCTATATATAGGGTGTGGTGTGATCAAGTCACTCCCTTACTGAAAACCCTGTAATGGCTTCTCGTTGCCCTTAGGGATGAAGTTCAAAACCCTTAGCATTGCCTGTATGTCCCAATGTGATCTGACCTATGCCTATCTCTCTGAGTCCCATTTCTCACTGCTCTCCCTGTGGCATCTAATGCACTACGGGAATACTTCCTCTTCATCTAGCTTAACTCATCATTCAGTCCTCACAATAAGCATCTCATCTTCTGGGAGATTATCTTTGATTCAACAGACTGGATTAGGTACTCCTGACTCCTACAGTAACAATCTGTCTCTCATCTATCAAAACATCCATTACCCTTTATTATGTCGACTTCTGTAACTGTCTACCTCTCCTGATAAATTTTAGGATCTGAAGACAGAGATCAAGTTACTCTTGTTCAACACTGTACACCAAAGTCAAGCACAACGTCAGTGAAGACTAAGAGACCTGCACCCAGGGATCTAGAATCCGAATTGAGGCAAGTTGTGACTTTCTATCTAGAAACTGAAGCTTCACATACACAATTAGACCTCCTTAACGACTAGGGCAATTTCCCAGTCAAACCCGAGGAACACAAACAGGCGGAGTCTCCTGTCATTTTCCGCCCTGTGAGTGACTGCTCATCAGGGCTGCTCATCCAACCAATCGCAACGGGGAAAATGTGGTCCCATTCTTCCACTAGTGACCTTGGTGGTTCAGCAAGGGGACCTCAGAGTGGTGCACACTATACCAGAAGGGACAACTGGAGTACCTGGGTCCTCAGAGACCAAGAAGTTTGGGCCAAGGTGAAGGACAAAGATCTTTATTTCCCCACGTACCAAGCGAGGTGGTGCTGCCTCGGTGCGGTCCCGCCCGCCCCGGGACGCAGCCTGACGAGGATGGGACCCTGAACTGCACCGGAGCGTTCTCGGGATTGAGGACGCGCCTTGACCTGCGGGGGGAGCTCCGGGCGTCCGAGGCTGCCGGCCGAGAAGTTGCAGAGGCGCCCCAGCGAGGTCGCTTGGTGTAGGGCTCACAGCCGGGGCCCGCACTCATGCTGGGACGCGCAGCGCACAGTCCCCGGGCCGGCCCGGGCGGAGAGCCTCATTCACTAACCCTGAGGGACGGACTGCACCTCCTTCTCGGAGCCTCCGGGCACCATCCCCTCTCTGCCGCTGCTTCTGCAGTTGCTGCTCCGCCGCCCTCCCGAGCCAGGCCCTAGCCAGTCGCCTGTCTTCCCGCTTCCACAGACTCCCCCGCCTGCCTCACGAAGAGCCGTTTTGATTCTGGCTTCCTTCACTTTCCCACTACCGGAAAGCTGCCGTTAGGCGCTTTCGGCTTCCGGGGCGTACACTGTCGCAAAGCGGAAGTGTGAGCCTTAGCGGGCTCGGGCGCCCGGAAGGTCAGCGTGTGCAGGAGTCGATGGTAACGCGTGTGTCCCCGCTGTTACTGAGGAGCAGCGGCCAAACAGACGACCCTTCCCGGAGACGGCGGTGAAAAGCAGACGGGCTTTTTGCTGCGACACCATGGAGGGCGGCGGGGGAAGCGGCAACAAAACCACAGGAGGGTTGTCCGGCTTTTTCGGAGCCGGCGGAGCTGGTTACTCGCACGCGGATTTGGCCGGCGTCCCGCGTAAGTAGCGGGGCCTAGCTTGCGAACATTTCTGAGTGATTCTTGCGACTACGCCAGACGTGCGGCGTGCCCTGTTCTCTTTTTTTAATGGTGTTCACATTCTGCGTACCGGTAGTGTGGTTAGTGTGTGTGCGCGCTCCCGTTCTCTCGTGACTGAACGAGTTTTTGGAGCCATGGATCCCCGAGAAGCTCTCTTAACCAGGACTCAGGAGCTGGTGAACGCTTTTCTTCCTGCAGTCAAGCTTTGTGCCTGTCTCTCTACCCGCACATTCCTTGTGTGTTGGCTTGTGTGCCTGGCTCTCGGTTAAGGGGAGAGCCTAGTTCTGCAAGTATAAACGCATTCCAAATTGCGACCCAGTAGAAAACATTTTAGCACAAAGTCGCATGTTCTAAACCATAAAGTAGCCATCAGGTCAAAACACCTAATAATGCTTATAGGCGAGAAAGAAATAGTCGAGACAACTGGAGGAGCTGGGAAGTGAGCTGCACTTACAGACGTGAAGAAAGGAGTTGGGGGAAGGACACATGCAAGATCGAGGGTGCAGAAGCATGAACACCACGCCTGTGCCCTCTCCTCAGTCCTCCGAATGGGTATTCCAGATCTTTTGGACTTCGTGGATGAATAGAATGTGGACTTAAAGATAGTAGGAAGTTGGAGGCTAAGTGCTCTATAAAACTATTTTCTTCTTTGAGAATCCTTTATGCTCAAGAATAAAGTCCTTTCAAGCTTCTAGTGTCATCTGTATCAAAACTGAATCTAGAGTACAATTCATATAAGTCGTAGGAATTCTGAGTTTTGAAGTACAACGGGCACTGCCTTAATGTGGCCAAGTATTGTTACATTTGTCCATGAAAAGCATCCTGCCTAAGAGAAAACTTAAAAGTGTTTATTTCAGCCAAACTGACAACGATTGCCGGGAAGCAAAATCGCAACGGATTGATAAAATGCTCTGCGAAATGGCTAACTGCAGTTTATTTTATACATAAAATCAAAGGAGGAAGGTTACATGAAATCCACTGGTGATAGATTAAGGGGGTGGGAGAAGGCAAAGCAGGGAAATCTCTGGGATTGGATAAAAGTAAATTGGAGAGACAGGTACTTCTTTTACATAGGTGGATGCAGGATAGTTAACAGCTTTTTGCAGCACATAGAGATGGTAATCTGGAGACAAGCATAATAATGAGGAATTTTGCAGTTTCCAGCTCTGGTCTGGAAAAAGGATTACTGACATTCCAAAGATGTTATCTTAGGTGCAAAAAGACAACAGACAGACCCACTGAAAAGGCACAGATTAAAGAAAGCTAAAGATGTGACTTTCCGCTATGGTTCACTTAGTTAATGAAATTTTTTTACGCTCACACCATTTTATGTGGTTATTTTCAGTTTCCTGAGCTTGTCAAGTTAATATGTGGTCCCTTGTCCATCCACACATTAATTTGATTAAGATTTGACAGGTAAAGTGAAAAATTGATGGGTGAACACCATTCATTGAGCACCTACAATAGGCTAGTAACTTTTCAGGGTGCAGGACTGCAGCAGTTAAATTTTTTAAGAGATGGCTGCTGCTTTTATGGAGTTTACATCCTATTGAAGTGAGTGAAGTAACAAAACCATTTCAGCTAGTGATGAGTGCATACAGGCAATAAAAACAGGATCATGAGATGGTGATCGGAGCAGGAAGCCATTTTGAAATGAGTCAGGGAAAGCTACTCGGGTATTGGCATTTGAGCTGTGACCTGAATACAATACAAATGCCTGGGAGGAGGCAAGTATTCCAGTGAAAATGACTAGTTCGAATGTCTTAAAAATGTATTGGGAAAAAACACACTTGCTGTTTGAGGAACATCTCTTAGGTCATTTTGTCTACAAAGTTTCGAGGGAGTTGGAGTGGTCAGAGATAATGAGATCAGAGGGGCAAAGAATGGTAGCTAATGTAGTGTTTTGTAAGCATGCATGGTAAGGAATATAGATTTAATTATGTGTAAATGACAGCTATTGAAACTGATTTCCTCTACTTAAGAGATCACTTTAGTTGCTGTATGGAAAATGAATTGAAGGGACTAGAGCAGCAGTTCTCAACCTGTGGGTCGCGACCCTTTTGGGGGTCGAATGACCCTTTCACAGGGGTTGCCTAAGACCATCGGAAAACAAAAAGATATTTACATTACAATTCATAACAGTAACAAAATTACAGTTATAGAGGAGCAACGAAAATAATTTTATGGTTGGGGGTCACCACAACATGAGGAACTGTATTAAGGGGTCAGCATTAGGAAGGTTGAGAACTGCTGGACTAGAGCATTTAAGGAGTCCAGTTAGGTAGTAGATTGTTACCGTAGTCTAGGTGAGATTTAATGTTTGGACTAAGATGATAGCAATAAAAGTGGTTATATAAGTAACAGTACAAGATAGCTGTTGAATGTAGAACTAATAGAACTTTCAGTTGATGCAAAGATCAGAATCATAGGTAATGCTTAGATTTGTGAAAAATCAACTGAGATACAGAAGGATCCAAAGGTTAAATTTAAAATGTGAGAAAGTTGAGTGGCCGGTTGAGTGGCTCAGTTGGTTAACAGCTCACTCAAGAGATTGAGCTCAGAGCAACAGCAGTTCGATTCCCAGCCTGAGCTGAGCTGCTCTTGAGTTACCAACAGGTGGCAGGATGGCTCAGCTAAAAAAAAAAAAAAAAAGCGATTGTTAAAATGTGAGAAAGTTGATTTTCCTTGATAGATTTTTCTAATTTCAAAGTTAGTGGGATTCAAGTCTGTCAGTCTGAGTTTCCATTTTCTTTTATCCTGACCCCATCCCTATGGCGATAACCCAAGAATTCTCTACCCTGCCACAGTAAATCAACTGTCAGCAACTGTTAACATTTAAGATCTGAAGAGACTGCCATAAAATATTTATACACAACGCATAACCCAAACACTGTTTTTTTTCCATGGAATTCATTGGTCTGTTGTCAATCTTATTTGTACTTTGTACAGTTGTCACTCTTTCTTGTAGCAAAGCAGAAATACATTAGCTTTATAATTCACCTGAGCTATGCTTCCTGCTACTTTGTTTTTTCAATCCATGTTACTGCCAATATCTTTGTATGAGAGCCTGAGTCACCAGTGCAAGACCTGGTTTGGGATGGAGGAGGCAACCCCAAAACTGCCAGACAAGAACGATAAGCACAGAAAAGTGGGAGAAAATTTCACTTTCAGTGAGCCTATAAATCAATATTGCAAGACACATGAAACAAGAACAGAATTAACACTAAATAACTTAAATTTTTTTTTGTTGTAATATGCTTTGTTTTATCTCTAGTGACTGGTATGAATCCTCTGTCTCCTTATTTAAATGTGGATCCACGATATCTTGTGCAGGTAAGATTAAGACTAGTCTTTTTATGATTTGACTAATTAGGTTTAATCTTACCATTTAAAAAAATTAAAAATGCCAGGTACTTATGCTGACCTGATCTGGGATATGTAGGCACCATTCACCCTTTTTTTCTCACAAACCCTGGGGATATATGGCTTGCATCTCTCCCTGACACTAGTTGACTTTAAAGCGTTTGGGGATTTGGTTTTTACCATTTTTTTAAATTGTGGTAAAATACACTGACATAAATTTTACCATCTTAACCATTTTTAAGTGTACTATTCAGTGTTACTAAGTACACTTGTAATATTGTACAGCCATCACCACCTACTGTGTCCATAACTAAAACTCTGTACAGTGTTCCCCTTATCCATTTTTGTTTTCTGTGGTTTCAGTTACCTGTGGTCAGCCATGCTTTGAAAATATTAAATGGAAAATTCATAATCGCATGCTGTTCTGAGTAGTGCAATGAAATCTCACGCTGTCAAGCTCCATCCAATCCGAGATGTGAATCATCCCTTTGTCCAGCAGATCCATGCTATATACACTACCCACTCCTTAGTCACTTAGTAGCCTTCTGGGTTATTGGAGAAGGAGACCACATTCACATACCTTATTAAAGTACATTGTTATAATTGTTCTATTTTACTGTTGTTAATCTTTTACTGTGCCTAATTTATAAATTAAACTATCATAAGAATATATGTATAGGAAAAACAGAGAGTTCAGTACTATTTGCAGTTTCAGGCATCCACTGTGGGTCTTAGAATGTTTCAGCCATGGACAGGGGGAGACTACTGTACCCATTACAAAATAAATCCTTATGCTGCCCTCTCCCCAACCCCTCACAACCATCTTTCTGCTTCTGTCTCTGATTTTATACTCTTAAGTCCCTCAAATAAGTGGAATCATGTAGTATTTGTCTTTTTGTGACCAACTTATTTAATTTAGCATAATGTCCTCAGGTTCATCTATATTGTAGCATGTGTCAAAATATCCTTCCTTTCTAAGGCTGATGTTATTCCATTGAATAATACTACATTTTGCTTATGCATTCATCTGTCCATGGACACTTGGATTGCTTCCATGTTTTAGCTATTGTGAATGCTGTTGCTGTGAACATTGGTATACAGATATAAATATCTCTTTTGGACCCTCCTTTTAATTCTTTTGGTTATATTGCCAGAAGTGGTGATTCTATTACTAATTTTCTGAGGAACTGCCATATTGTGTTCCACAGCAGCTATACTATTTTACATTCCCATCAACACTGTGCAAGAACTCCAGTTTCTCCACATCCTAGTCAACACTTGTTATTTTCTGGGGTTTTTTGATCATAGCTATTTTAATGGGTATGAGGTGGTGGTGACTCATTGTAGTTTTGATTTGCGTTCCTCTTGTGATGAGTGATGTTGAGCACCTTTCCACATGCTTATATTGCCATTTGTGTATCTTTGGAAAAATGTCTATTCAAGTCCTTTGTGCATATTTGAATCTGGTTGTTTTTTTTGTTGTTGTTGTTGTTAAGTTTCAGGAGTTCTGTATGTATTCTGAATATTAACCCCTTATCAAATGCATGATTGGCAAATATTTTGTCCCCTTTTGTGAGTTGCCTTTTTACTCTGTTGATAGTGTCTTTTGATGCACAGAATTTTAAAATTTTCATGGTAATTTTTTCAAGTTTTTTCGTTGCCTATGCCTTTGGTATCATATCCAAGAAATCATTGCGAAATCCAATGTCATTAAGCTCCCTATGTATTCTTCTAAGAGTTGTATAGTAGTTTTAGGTCTTACATTTAGGTCTTTGATCCATTTTGACTTGATTTTTGTATAGTGTTATGTTAGGATCCAACTTCACTTTTTCATGTGGCTATCCTATTTTCACGGCACCATTTGTTGGAAAGACATTTTCTACATGGAATGGTCTTGGCACTGTTGTTGAAAATCATTTGGCCATATATGTAAGGGTTTATTTTTGGGTCTGTAGTCTGTTCCATTGTTCTATATGTCTTTATGCCAATACAGCACTATTTTGATTACTGTAGCTTTATAGTAAGTTTTCAAATCAGAAATTGTGAGTCCATCAGCATTGTTCTTTCTCAAGGTTGTTTTGGCTGTTCAGGATTCATTGAGATTCCGTATGAATTTTAGGATGGGTTTTCCTTTTTCTACAAAAGCATCATTGGTATTTTCATAGGGATTGCATTTTAATCTGTGGATTGCTGTGGATAGTGTTCACATCTTAACAGTATTAAGTCTGCCAATCCATGAACATGGGATATGTTTCCATTTATTTATGTCTTTAATTTCTTTCAGCAAGCTTTGTAGTTTTCATTTAGAATGCTGTCACCTCCTTGATTAGATTAATTTCTAAGCATTTTGTTCTTTTTGGTTCTATTATAAATGGAATTGTTTTTCATAATTATTTCTTCAGACCATTCATTGTTAGTAGATAGAAATGCATCTGATTTTTGTGTGGCTTTGTATTGTGTTACTTTGCTGCCTTCATGTATTAGTTCTAATGGTGTTTTTTTGTTTGTTTGTTTTTTACAATTTTTATTGGGGAATTGGGGGATGGGAACAGCGTTGGGGAATCGGGGGAAGAGGAACAGACAAGTTGCTGTTGTTTTTTACTTCAGTCTAGTTGTGGAGGACGTTGCTTCACTGGCCCAAGTTGGCACCATCATTGCTCTCTTCCCGGGCGAGGCAGATCAGTCAGATCAGTCGCCGGCTTCTGGATGGCCACTCACAGCGGCTGCTGGCCGCTCACGCTGGCTGGTGTCTACACACGGTAGCCCATGACAACCCACTGCAGCAGGGGCTGAAGCCTACACCGTCACCGGTGACTCACGGCAGCCCAGCTCCAGG